AGGCACTGGGGGGTTCTGCCTCTGTGTTTGATCCACATCATGCAGCGTCTCACAAGCACACCATTCACAAAGGATAGTCCCATTGGTTTAGGCATGTGGTCCCCAAAACAGCCCTGTGGGGTAGGCAGATGTGGGGGGTCCCGATGACTACACAGACATGGACATGGATGGTCAGAGACGAAGCAACCTGTCCAGGGTCACAGGCTGAGCCACTGGACCCAGAACCAAGCATTATTTGCCTCCTCTAGGCTGAGCCAATGTACTCGATGTGATGTAGGGGTATGTGTGTGGCGGGTGCGGGGCAGGGGGGGTTTCTCAACTACCATGAGGACCCTGCAGGTGTCCCCAGGCTGGTCTCTCTATTTTCTGAGGGTCATCTGACCAAAAGGCCCAGCAAAGACTTTAGCACAGAGGAAGGGTATGAAGAGTCTGGTCATGTGCAAAAAAAAAAAAGAATGCCCAAATGTGACAGTTATGCAGAGTTGAGAGCAATGGGGAAGAGAGCAATCCAGGTGTACTCCCTGGAGGAGGCAGGCTTATGAGGCTGTAGGTGGGGAGGAGTTACATGATGGAGAGATGGGGCCAGCCCAGAGAGGGGGAACGGTGACACATTCAGGATGAAGGAAGAGGCGGGAAAAGGACACATAAGCTGCTGTTGTTCTCCCATTTTACAATTGAGGGAATGCAGGCTCAGAAAGAAGCTTGTCCAGCGTCTCCCAGCCAATGAGGGGCAGAGTCAGGATCTGAACCCAGGCCTATGTCACTCCCAAGTGCGGGCTCCTCAGGAGGAGCAGGGAAGGGACCCAGCCCACCGTGGGCATCCCTCTGGCAGCACCATGCTAGGTAGGGGCCTCACCTACATCACACACCAGGACATTGCTGTCGTCCTCACAGGTAAACCGAGGCTCAGGGAAGTGACGCGACGTGCCCAAGGCCACACGGTGAGTTCATTCCAGTGCCCAGATCCGGCTCGGCCTGGCCAGACTCTGTTCTTTCTACTACGCAGTGCAGCCTCCCTCCTCACTCGGCAGACACTGCCTGAACCCTAAGGGGTGCAGGGCCTGGGGTGGAGCTGGGCTGACCTCCTGGCAGCCTCAGGTCCGGGCTCCCACCCACTTGGACCAGCCAAGGATGGAAGGGCCCATGAAAGTGAGGCCTGTTAAGATTTGTTTGGGTGGCGGGGCTGTGGATAGTCTTGCTCTTTATCTGAGATACTCTGCGCAGCACAAAACTCAATCAGCATGACAGGCTGTGCCCGAACGGCTGAGTGCAGTGTGATGTCACAGGCCAGCACAAGGGTCCCAGGAGGTGCCCGGGTGCAGGCCAAAGGGTGGTCAGGAAAGACTTCGTGGAGGAGGTGGCGCTGGGCAGATGAGCAGGAGTTAAATGTGCAACGAGGAAGGAAAAGGGCCCTCCAGGAGGCGTGAACGGCCTCACCAGAGGCAGGGCAGAGGAAAGGAAGCAAGGCGGGTCTGCAGCTGAGGTGCAGGTGAGGACGGGTGTACTGAGCTGTGACTCTCACCACAGGGAGGGGCACTGAAGGCAGTGTCTGCTCATTGCTCCAGCCTCCTCTACAACCACCCCATCCCCAGTCTGTCCAGGCCCTACTTACACACAATCAGTGACAGGGAACTCACTACCACACAGGCAGCCTCGTCTGTTCCTAGAATGGTTCTGACTGTCACAGAATTCTCTTTCTAATCAGCTTGCTTTCCATGGGGCTGACTACGCCCCTTTCTTACTGTCTTTCCCCCTGGAGCTTGGGCTAAGCCACGGCCCTCCCTCCCCGTCACATTTCAGAATGTCGGCACTGCAGCTCAGAGTTCAGTTTCATTTTCTCGAGTCTAGTCCACCCTGCACTCTGGCCACCTTTTATGGGTCCTGACCCTCCCTGGGTGTGTGGGCTCTGCAGACCTGATGGGCACTTTCCACACTGCAACAGGAGAGAGCTCCAGGGGAGCCTGCTAGAAACCTCCCACCAGATCACCAGCAATGCAAGCATCAGCACAAACCAACCAAAATCCCCTGGCCTTGGCACACCCTTCTCTGTCCTGCCCTCAAAAGACATCACAGGAGACCCTGGCTCCTGTTTCCTGATGCCCAGAGGCCCAGGGTCTCCTCCATTTGTCTTGACAGGTGGATAGATTGAGACCAGAGTGGCTGACCCTACTTGGGCTGGCCAGCCGACTTCCCGTCCACCTCTACCCTATTGCTCTTTTCCAGGGTCTCCACATCTGTGGGGCTGCTTGGTGATGCTTTGTTCGGGTCAGTGATCCTGAACATTTTCTCTCCCCAGCCTCCTGCCAGGGAATTACCTCTCCTCTCCTCCAAACTGTCTGGAACCTTCATCTCCCATCCATTCAGGCCCAGCACCTCCCCTCAACTTGCACTGAGCCTCATAACTCACCTAGCCGCTTCTCTCAAGGGTGCCCGCCTCTCTGACAACACTCAGCCCAGAGGTCAGGACCAAGGCCACAGGGCGATGACCATTTACAGAACTCCCACATGGCTGTGAGTTCCCAGAGCGCACTTATGGCTTTCCATGATCACTCGGGCGGACCCCCGGCCCTTTGCAGTTATTGTCCCTCTTTCTGGAATGCTCTTTCTTTCTTTCTTTTTTTCAAGTTTCAGACTATTTATTCATCAGTGTAAACCCCAACACAATACACCAACATGGTTTCATGCATTTAGAGGGGAAATATTTCCTGGTTAAGTGGAAAATTATGTAGATGGCTTCTGGAAGACCTTCATTCTAAGCAGCTTTAAGTGAAATATTTCATTTAGAAGTCTGGACCTTCTTTTTTCAGTTTGCTGTAATCTACGTTCACAGAGTAGAACTTGTACCGATCATTAGGACCTAGTTTGTTCCAGGGTTCTGGGTTATTCTTTCTGTCCCAACTGACGTCGGGATTGAACAATGCCAGGCGTGTGACATACAGTGCTGCTCCAATAAATATGAAGAGGGGGATCAATCTAGGATGCTTCTTGGTCTGACCGATGATCTGGCGGAGCATGGTTGTGACAGAGGCCTCGAGTCCAAACGGACAGAAAAACTAAGCCGCAAGGCCAGAGATTTATCACTCACCGCACCTGTGGAATGCTCTTTCTCTCACTGCTCTGCCTTTAGCTCAAATGCAGCCCCTTCACACACGCTTTTCCTTGATCAACTAAGATTCCCATCCCCTTCCTCAGGGTCTCTATCTCACTACAATGATGTAACGTCTTCACCTGACTTATCCCTATCTGAAACTGTGGCACGTATCTGCTTGTTTGTTCCTTTCTTCTTTGTTCCTCTTTTACCAGATTCTAAGCTCCAGGAGGGCAGGCACCTTGCTTGTTCCATGAACCACTGGCACACAGTAGGTGCTCAATAAATGAATACTTGAATAAGTTCTTGATAAGTAAATGCCCCAGACCCGATTCTCAGTTCTTTTTACCATCATACCCTGTAGACATGCACCCCTTCCTCTTTGTAACATTTCTAGGAAATTCCACCCTCCTTTAGACCTCTGTGCCTCTGCTAGGGGGACCCTTTCTCCCCAACTCTGCCTGGTGGGCTCCGCCTGATCCTTTGAAACCCTGCTCAATTCTACCTCTTCTAGATGGTTCTGGCCCCTTGGTTTTCTCACACCTTCCTTGCTCCTCTTCTATGGACTTAGCTATTTGCAAGTCTACTCCTGCTCCTGCTCACTCAGGTTAGAGGTCTCCAAGGGCGGGGGGTGAGTCTGTATCATCGTGGGGTGGTGGGGAGGTGTCCCACTGCTCAGCCTGGCCCAGAGCAGCTGCTCAGACGATGTTTGCTGATCACTGCTGGACAGGTGTCCTGCTCGGAGAAGGTATTTCACCTGACTGGTGCCTCACCTCTGCAGGGTCACCCCTCCTTTCTTGCCCCCCCCCCGCAGCAGTCAGACTGAGATCTTAAAAACGTAAACGAGATCAGCTTACTGCCAGTTCCAGAGAGTACTCATCACACTCAGAACTTTTATAAACTCCTGAGCACGGTGCACCAGGCCTGACATCTGACCCCTCCATCTTGCTCCCAGTGCTGCCTCAGGGCCTTTGCACGTGCCATTCCTGCTGCCGGTATATTCATCCTCTGGAAGCTGCGAGACCAGCTCTGTGTCATCATTCACACCTCAGCTTACGGGCCTCCTCGACACCCCCATTGACCTGCTTTATTTTCATTGTGTATCTGTCATTGCTGTTACTCAGTTATCAGTCGTGTCTGACTCTTTGCTGCTCCATGGACTGCAGCACGCCAGGTTTCCCTGTCCTTCACCATCCCCCAGAGTTTGCTCAAACTCATGTCACTGAGTTGGTGATGCCATCCAACCATCTCATCCTCTGTCATCTCCTTCTCCTTCTGCCCTCAATCTTTCCCAGCATCAGGGTCTTTTCCAATGAGTTGGCTCTTCGCATCAGGTGGCCAAAGTATTGGAGCTTCAGCTTCAGCATCAGTCCTTCCAATGAATATTCAGGGATGATTTCCTTTAGGATGGACTGGTTGGATATCCTTGCTGTCCAAGGGACTCTCAAGAGTATATCTGTTACTCTCTGGAGTTTCCACAATGTCTGACCCCTCACGACACCACAGGCTCCTCAAGGTTGGGGCCTCATCTGTCTCAGGCCCCAGTCCCCAGACCAGTGCCTGGCACACAGTATGCCTCTAAAACAACGGTCACCAGACTGATTCTTTCTTGTCCTGAATGAGAACAGACTTCCATGTTCAACTTTCAGAAAACCAATTCGCTAGAAGGTAAGTTCCATGGTTGGAGGGGGCAGGAATTCATCATCAGTTTTTTTCGCTGGGCTCACCCCAGGGCCTGGAGAAGTACTGACTACACAGTAGACTTAATGAATGTCTGCTGGGGAAAAGGAGGGAGTTCTTGGCTGGGGCTGAGCTGGCCAGAGACCAAAGGCTCTGAGACCCCCCAGCCTCATCAAGGGGACACGGGCAGGAACCGGCGACGGGAGTGAGCCCACCGCGGGCCGCAACTCACCTGACAACAGCATGGGGTCCTTGTCCACCGACTTGCGCACCTGGTCAGACTCCCCGGTCAGGGAGCTCTCGTCGATCTTGAGGTCGTTGCCCTGGATGAAGAGGCCGTCGGCAGGGAGGAGGTCGCCTGGTGGGAGGAAGGGAAAGGGGGGCGGTCAGCAGGGTCTCAGGGGCTGGAGAGGCTGGAATATTCCCTTCAAGCATGATTGCAAGGAGGAGTCGCCTTCTGGAACAGGCTGCCTAGCGCCCCCAGGGTGCAGGAACCAAGGTGGCGTCCATCAGAGGCCAATGGGCAGCTGAAGCCTGGGGTCCGGGTGAAGGGCAGGGGGCCTGGAGCACTGAGGTTGGGTCCTGCCTCTATCTGAGTTCGAGTGGGCATGTCCTTCAGTTTCTAAAGTGCTTCGCTTGGCATGGCATGGATTTAGGGCCCAGATTTCTCAATGATTCATTCTTCTCTGGCCTCGACTATGGTTTGGGGAAATTCTTTGGGAAGGGACTAACCTGTCTTGACTAGGCTGAATAGACCCCAAGACAGGAATATTATCGGAGGATAACACGGCTGGTGAGAAGGGGTCCTCTAATCTTTCCCCCTTCTCTTACCTCTACTTACCTAGGACATATCTCAACTAAATCCCCTTTGGCACCAGCCTGCTCACTTTCTCCACGGCAGCATCACGGGCCTGGAATATTTTCCCATTCCTGTCCACTCCCCATAACACCTTCTCTAGCACGACAATCATCCATTAACAGCCAAATCAGAGAAGGGAAAGGGATTTCACTTCCTCAGCCCACTCTGAGTGTTGGTGGTCCTTGGAGTGCTGGGTTGAGAAGTCATCTGATGATGTTATCTCAGGTTTGAGCTGAGATCAATTAGTAATGTCTGCTAAGGGTAGATGTTTAGAGAGTGGTGGTACATGTGTCGTGCATTTGCCATTTTTTGGTTTAAATGCATTCTGGAATCCCACCTCCTCCAGAAATGAGCCTTCCACCTCTTCAAGAAGCTCAGAAGATATCTTAGCTTGGGGTCAGCCTTCAGGAATCCACCCTCTGCTCTGGGCCCACTTCTCTGTGTCTGCCTGGCCCATTCCCACCCTGGCCTGGACTCCAGTTCTAGCCCCCAGCTCAACAGTGGGGTCACTTACCATATTTGACCTGGGCGATGTCCCCAACCACGATCTCAGCCACAGGGATCTGGACCACCTGGCCGGCCCGGACCACAGTGAATTTCTGCTCCTGCTCAATGCGGCTCTGCAGGCCCCGGAACTGCTTCTCTTTGCTCCAGTCATTGAAGGCCGTGACCAGGACCACGCAGATGACCGACAGGAGGATGGCGGCCCCCTCGATCCAACCCGCCTCTGCCTCCCCTTCATCCTCTGCCCCGCCCTGGGCCGTCGCACATCCTGCACAGAGCGGAAGGAAGCAGGCGGGATGGGTCAGCCAGGCAGAAGGGGCCGCACTGTCATCTACACTGCAGGTGCTTTAGGGTCTAAAAGGCAGTTTTGCTGACATCCTTTCCTTCCATTCTTCCAGCAACTGTGCGGCAGGCCTCTAGGCTGGGGCGGGACCTGCTCTCCAACAAGCTGGGTCCGAACCCTGCTGCTGCCCTTCTCTGGTCCTGGGCAAGTCACTGCCCTTCCTGAGCTGCTGTGGTGTGCTGGTCTGCAAAATGGAAGTCACGGAGGCCAGGTTCCAGGGGAGGGAGGTCAAAGCTCCGGGCAGCGCTCAGCACACAGGAGGGTCTTATGTGGCTCTCGTTGGATCGGAGCCTCCAATACACAGTGAGGATACCAATACCCTGAGCCACCTGTGTGACCTACAGTCTGATGACTACATGGTGCAAGAAAGTAGATGGGTTCCTTCCATCACTCAGAGCTGCCAGACCCTGAGAACACCTCCTGCTGCTCTGGGGCAATCAGGAGAAAGAGATGAGGGAGGGGAAGAAAGAGGGGTGTGGGTGGGCCCTGCGGAGGTCACCTCTGGGCTCCCTTGGACTGGGGCAGGGACAGGATCTAGAGATTGTGACCACAGGATCTGGGGAGGCTGCAACTGCCCTCCTTGGACCCAGGGTTTTCTAAAGTATGTCTGTCTGACTTTGGGGAACCCACTTGGCCTTTCTAGGCTTCCCTGTGATTGTTCACCAGTAAAATGGAGAAACTGCTTTCGAGGTGGTTACCAGGGCCCGACATCAAATAAGGACTCTCAAAACTGGTCAAGTCACAAACATTTTCTAAGCAGCTATTATGTGCTGGTCACTCTTCTGGCTCTCTGGCACTAAGGGAGCTGTCATGGGCAGGGAGTTGGCAGCAGGGGTTATGCCTACCCTAGCCCTGCCGTGGAAGTGCCTTTTGACCCCCAACAGGTGTCTAGAGGTCTCGGAGCCAAGAAAGCTAACAGGGAGGGGTTCTGGGTACGGCAAGGCAGTCTAGTGCTGGTCCATCACCAGCACTGTTCTGTGGCCTCCCAGGTGCCACCAGTGGTCAGGAGCCTGCCTGCTAATGCAGGAGACATAAGAGAAGCGGGTTTGATTCCTGGGTTGGGAAGGTCCCCTGGAGAAGGGCATGGCAACCCACTCCAGTATTCTTGCCTGGAGAATCCCATGGACAGAGGAGCCTGGGGGGGGCTACAGTCCACAAGGTCACACAGAGTTGGACACGACTGAGCAACTTAGTACACAGCATCATTTTAAATGTAACTGCTGCAGCCTAAGTCTGCCATGGCAGGGTCTGGTCAAGGCACCACGGAAAGTTCAGAGCACAGGCCCGGGCTTGGGTATCAGGGAGGAGTAAGTCATAAAGTTCGAGAACTCCATTCTGCAGGAAAAAAGTGTGTTCAGCTGCCCTTATCAACCCAGTGTGGCCTGAGCTGGTGTCTCAGCTGGAAGAAGTGAGGGGCAGTAGAAAGAACCAGAAGCTTGGAGTTCCAAATCCAGCTCGCCTGCCTTCACGCTGTGTGACCTTAGGCAAGTCCTTCCCTCTCTGGGCCTTGGCTCCCGCCTCTCTAGGATGGAGGCGACCCCAGGCATCGGAGAGCAGGGCTGTGGGGCACCCCTCCAGGAGCCTGATCTGTGTCCCCACTGCACCCCCTCTACCCCCTGCCTGCTGAGTTCTAAGCTTGCACCACACTGGGTCACCTGAGGTCACTTATCCGGGTGGTGCTGACTCAACCTGGTCCCTTTCTGAGGAAAGGCAGCCGACAGACAGGCACGCGGGCACGGAAGCCAGAACGCCTTGGTCTGAGTCACGGTTCTGCCGGTTCCCGGAGTCTGAACTTGCAAGTCATTTACTATCTCGGGGCCTCGGCTTCCTGGGTAATAAGATTACCTGCCCACAGGGCTGTTGTGAGGGTCAAGTGAGTATCAAATGAACTTTTCCCCTAAAAGCTTCCAACTAGCGGTGGCTCTAAAAATAGTAGGAATTACCCTCCTTATTATGCTTTTTGTGTTGCGCCCTTAGCTTTGTTCGAGGCTTATGCAAGAAGCAGTGTACCATCTTCTTCTCTATTTTCTACAAAATTTCTGCAGAGTGCTGCCCATTATGCATCTCTCATAATGGCCTGGGCTTCCCAGGTGGCGCTAGTGGTACAGAATCCGCCTGCCAATTCAGGAGACGATTTGATCCCTTGGATGGGGAAGATCTCCTGGAGGAGGACATGTCAACCCACTCCAGTATTCTTGCCTGGAGAATCCCATGGACAGAGGAGCCTGGTGGGCTACAGTCCATTGGGTCGCAAAGTGTCGGACACGACCGAAACAACACGGCATGCTCGCACATAAGGTCCTATGTGTAAGTTCATCCCACAGTTCATTGTCAGGGGATGTGCTATCTTCTTAAAGAACTTCCTTTCCTCCTAACTGATAACTTGAGCTATGCAAATCATCCTAATTCACTTTCTGCTTTGGTTGCCACGAAGTTCAAAGTCAAATTTATATCTCAGTCAAGGGAGCAGACTTATTTGCTTTAAACCCTCTTTGGAAAGAGGTGATGCAGAAAAAAGGAATCAACTAGTAATATTAGGTAAAAAAAAAAAAATCGAGGTAGCTTACAGATAGACTTGGTTCTCCAGCTTCTCAGGAAATTCCGGCATGGGAGGGAACGGGGTAGCATCTGTACAAAGAACCTCAGAAACCACCTCCTCATTTGGGCAAATGAGGCCCACAGAGATGCTTTCATATATTTGGTTTCCACTTTTTATTTGCTTGCCTGAAGCAGTGAACCTAGAAGGATGATCTGTTTATGAAGCACATTAAGATGCCTAATAATTATTAATAACAAGGTATTTATACTTTTGTACTAATGCCAAATCAGATTATCAAAATCTAACAGCAAAACAATATATCTTATGTAATCCTACATAGCCCACGGTTTATGTGTATACATTTATCAGTCTGCCTATCTTTCTGTTTATGTATAGATGTGTAGAGGGATTCAGGCTTAAAACACTTCGCCATGATAAAGGGAAGCTGCACGGAGTTGGTGAAGCCTAGCCCTTGGCAGGTGCTCAGTATTTGGAATTAAAGGAAGAATGGAGGCTGAGGTTTTCTTTTCTTAAAATAGAAGTTTAGTTGATTTACAAGATCGTGTTAGTTTCAGGTGTATAGCATAGTGATTCAGTTATACGTACATATCTATTTTTTTTAGATTCTTTTTCCTTAGATGTTATTACAAAATATTGAGCGGCGTTCCCTGTGCTGTATAGTAGGTCCTTGTTGTTATCTGTTTTAGTGTCTATTAGTGTGTACATGTTAATCCCAACCTCCTCGTTTATTTATGAGGTTTTGCATTAGGGCTCCCGAGTCCTGACTGAGAAAGTGGGTTTGCTCCAGAACCCTCCCTGGGTGAGTGGGACAGTACTTCCTCCACCCATCAAGCAATGGCCCCATTCAGAACCCAGGCCATATTTCAGGACGCCCTCTCAAGCCCGAGACGTGCCACATGGCAGAGCGTGCTCAGCATCGGCCCCACCAGGGTGTGCTGGCCCTGAAGCAAGCACAGGATTGGGACTGAGAGGCCTCCTCCTCAGGGCACCAGGAGTGAGATCCCCGACGGGGATGCAGGGAAGGAAGCCCAGGGTGGTCCCCTCGACAGCGGCAGCAGGTCCAGCACCTCTGGGCGCCCTCTGTGTGCCAGGCTGTCCACGCACCCCTCCACCACCTCCTTGTTATAACCTCTCCAGGTGAGGTCTGTTGCCCTGTTTAGCAGATGGGGAAACTGAGATTCACAGAAGGAAAGTGACTTGCTTAAGGGCCATACAAAAACAGGGGGTGAGCTGGATTTGGCCGTGGGCTGATGTTTGAGATCCGTGTTCTAGAATACCAGGTTCACAGGGCTCTGACATCATCATGGGTTTTCTCACAGTTGGGGGCCTCAAGGAGCCCAGTGTTGGGGCTGAAACAGGATCACTTAGAAGCTAGAGCGCCCAGAGGGCAAGGGGCCTGAGGCTGACACCATGTCAGATCGAGCATGGATGCAGCCTGTGGGTGGGCAATTCGGAGGGTCTGTCCTCAGCTGAGACAGTGTGGAGCCTACAGAGAGCAGCTGGATAGAAGTTTGGGGTCACTCTCCCTTGGACTCCATTCAACATAACCAGAGAGTGGCCACAAAGAAGGCTGATCGCCAAAGAATTGATGCTTTCAGACTGTGGTGCTGGGGAAGACTCTTGAGAGTCCCTTGGACAACAAGGAGATCAAACCAGAAAATCCTAAAGTAAATCAACCCTGAATATTCACTGGAAGGACTGAAGCTGAAGTTCCAATACTTTAACCACCTGATGTGAAGAGCTGACTCATTGGAAAAGACCCTGATGCTGGGAAAGATGGAAGGCAGGAGGAGAAGGGGACGACAGAGGATGAGATAGCTGGATGGCATCACTGACTCAATGGATATGAGTTTGAGCAAGCTCTGGGGAATGGTGAAGGACAGGGAAGCCTGGCGTGCTGCAGTCCATGGGGTGGCAAGGAGTGGGACACAACTGAGCGACTGAAGAACAAGAGCGTGGTCCGGGCAGTGGTGTCTTTAACAAGCCCCACCACAAAATCTGGGGGCTCTTTCTTAGCTGGGTGACCTGGAGCAAGTTAACGCACTTCCCTGTGCCTTGGTTTCCTCATCTTTAAAATGGGCATAATCATGGCCCCTAGGTCATGGGGCTGTTGGAGGACGGTGTCTTGGCCTGGAGCTCAGCACACTAAGCGCCCGACAAACGCTCACTCTAACGTGACCGTGGTTGATCCAACCTCTGCGTTTCCCACACGGGAGAAGGGGGGCCAGGCACTCTCAGCCCCAGGTCCAGCTCAGCCACCCACTGACCCTTGGGCCTCAGTTTCCCAGCCTGGAGGGAACAGTGGCCTTGAGCCCCAGGTGCCCAGAGGTATGGCCGGGCACGTGTGCTGCAGGCCAGGAGAGGGAGGTCCTAGGCGCCTTCTTACCTTCGTTGTTCTCGCCGGGCGGGTGGTAGAAGGAGAGCCCCAGGGAGATGATGGCGGCGATTTCCAGAATGATCAGCGTCACGTCCTGCAGGGCCTCCCACACGAGCTGCAGGAAGGTTTTTGGCTTCTTTGGAGGTATAAAGTTTTGCCCAAAAATCTGCTTTCTCTTCTCCAGGTCTGGAGCAGTGCCTGGCAAACCTGTGGACAGAGTGCAGAGAGGTTGGCCTGGGGGTCCTGGGGAGACACACATGCCCAGGAATCACCCCAAGGGGGGCAGCCGTGTGGCAGGGGGAAAGCGAGAAGGGAAGAGAGGCAAAAACAAGGCAGGAAGCTGGCAGGAACCCATCAGGAGCCTGCGCCCAATGCTAGCTTCGATCCAGAAGATCTGAACTAGTGTGCTGGAGCTGGAGGACTCGGGCGTTCTGCTGTTCCAGTTGCGGAGGACCCGGGGTCCAATATCTACGCTTATAGACAAGCTAACACATCACAGGGTCTAGGACTCCAACAATCTTTCATTCATCCAGTTATTCATTCAACCCCTATTTCTCTGCACGCCTGCCCCTTGGGTGAGTCCCGTGAATGGAAGAGCCCCTTGCTCAGGGCTCAGTGGTCCTGGGATCCTACAGTCTGTGGTTCAGGGGTACAGGAGATGGACATGTCTCCAAAATGGGGTTCTGGGTCCTGAGCCTCTTCTGATGTTCATAGTAAGACGCCCACCTACTGCCTCCAAGAGCCAGACTGGCTGAGACCCTGAAGAAGAGCCTGAGGATGTCCTGTTCCCCAGGAGACCTCCCCCCACCCCAATGGCCTTGCCTATCAGTACAGGCAGCGCTGGAGATCCACTGTCCTGCCTGTGCAGTGGGAGGGAGGGAGCTTGAGCTGGGTTATGCCCCTTTCATAGATGGGCCTTCATGAGACCCAGCTGTGGCTGTGGCACACTCTTGGGACCCGAGGACCCAGGCCGGCCCTGTTCTAAGCACATGGAAATGTTGCCCCCAGCCTCCCATGCTGGACTGGCTAGTATGTGTTCACAGTGAAAAGCGTTAGTCTGTCAGGTGTGTCCAACTCTTCTGTGACCCCATGGACTGTAGCCCGTGGGCGCCTCTGTCCATGGGATTCTCCAGGCATGAATACTAGAGTGGTTTGCCATTTCCTTCTCTAGGGGATCTTCTTGAACCAGGGATCGAAACTGCATCTCCTGCATTGCAGGTGGGTTCTTTACCACTGAGCCCCCAGGGAAGCCCCCAGGTGAAGATATTGGGTCATTATTGTTCAGTTAAGACAGTAGGGTCATTAATCACGACCTCCTGGAGGAATGATTGAAGAGATGGGTTTTCAGTGAGATGGAGAGGAGGCTGGTCAAGGTGAGGACAGGTACAGTGGAAGGGCCCTGTGACTGCAGACAATATACTTCCCTCTGGACCTCAGTCTCCTCACATATGGCATGAAGGATGGACTTGGCTGAAGGGCTCAAAGTGGGGACTGGTGGCTGTGACAGCCTTATAGCTGAAGACAATTGTTATGGAGACCTACAGGTAGGACAGTCCACCTGGTCCAGGCCACCAACCATGCCCTTCCCAGGAGCAGAAATTTAAAGTCTCCTCACCCTTAGGCTGAAAATTAACAGAGCCTATTTTGGGAGCAAAACTACCAGGCTGGTGTGAGAGATGAATGGTGCTGGAGATTCAATTTAGATTAAAGGGCATCTCACCATTTAGTATATTAAAAATTAAAATACTGTGTCAAATATCCACTGGACAAAGCCAGGAAGGCCTTGAAAATTCAGAGACACAAATGCCCAGCAGTTGATAGCAGACACTGTGTGGAACCACGGATTTTTGAACATGAGTTTCTTTTTGCACAGAAGGCAGAGAACAGAGTAATGGGTGAGGAGTCAGGTTTGTGGATGAACTTGGGCTGGTTGTTTCATCCCCTGGAAACTCAGTGTCCTCATCAATAAAATGGGAGCAAAATAAGCCTGAGGCTGTGGTAAGCCATACACCGCAGAGGAAGGGGTGTGGACGCTCTCTGTGAACAGTTTAGGTGAGGGAAGTGTGTCCTCATGGTAAAAAAACAATGCCCTAGCATGTGGCTCAAGTCTTCTACTGGAGTCAGAATTTGTATTCTGTTAATTACGTGCAAGAAGAGAGCTGAGTGCAGAATGTGGGTTCTTTCGTTGAACAGGAATGATTTGTTGTAATGCCCGCAGTGTCATTGGATACCTGAGGAAGCTTTGCCCCAAAGTGCATCTCTGTCCAGCTGGACTGGACACACACGGGCTTTTCCCCCAGGCCCTGAGCCTTGGCCCTGGCCAGTTCCCATCCCTCTACTTGCTCTTCTTAGTCATTTCAGGCTCAGCCTTGAGGATCGCAAACAGCAGCCTTCAGGGTACCGGAGAGGTCTTTCTGGACTTCCCTGGTGGTTCAGAGGCTGGAAGTTCATCTGCCAATGCAGGGAACACGGGTTCTATTCCTGGTCCAGGAAGATTCCACATCCCTGGTCCAGGAAGTTTCCAAGTGTCTTGCAGGGTTGACGGAGGATTAGGACCACGATGTGTGTAAATAGTGCCCGGTACGTACTGGCCCTGATAGATGCAGCCGTGACTACTAACTGCCACCACTGCCACTAACAAGCATGCTGCCACTTGTGACCATCACTATTCCTAACGACCACACCACCGCTACCAACTACCACACCGCCTCTACTGTGTTAGCCTGGGCCTGGGATGTGCCTCCCGGATATTTCGCCACTGTCTTACCTTCTGTCAAAGACCTGGGTTGGATGCATTTTCACTTGCTGTGTGACCTTGCGTGGCTCACTCTCCCTCTCTGGGGGCCCGCAGGCTGTCTCACCATCATATCATGCTGTCGATGGGCCCTGAGTGCGGGGAGGTGTCTCTGTGATACGTCATGCCCCCTGGCGGGGTTTCCTGAGGATCCAGGGGCTCACACACAGACCTGGCGTCCAGCCCCCACACGGTTCAGGCGGATGCGGTGCACACCCATGGATGTGGCTTTCAGTGCCGGTGGGAACGCGCCTGACCACAGCCCTGGCCTGTTTCTTGGTTACACGCGGACGCAGTGCCACTAGTTTGTGTGTGCACACATAGACGCAGCACTCGATGAGATCAGCCACTTGTGAGCACCCACAGACACTGTGTCCCTCCAGCCTATGTGACACACACAGACATAAATCTCTCCACTGATTTAAGTCCCCAAGTTCAGCTGCATCTCCACCCCATCTCTGCTGTAGGATTTCCTAGACCCATGAAACCTCTCAGCTCACAGCTCTAGAATTTCTATGTCAACAGGAAACTGGGTGTTGGTGGGGAGGTTGGGATTGGGTGGTGAGGATCTGGTGGGAAGATGGGTGGCCAGGAGTTCATCTAGAACCTGTGAAGATATCAATTATCTGCATCGAAGAATTGAGGGGTCCAGTGGAGGTGAAGGCGCTGAATAGGGTTGCCAGACAAAATACAGGATGACCACTTAAATCTGAATTTCAGATAAACAGCAAATAATTTTTAAGTTATGTCTCCTATAATATTGGGGACAAACTAATAAAAATTATTTTTTTTATCTGGAATTCAAATTTCACTAGATATCCTATACTTTTCTTTGTTAAATCTGGCAACTCTATCCCAGAAGCACCCCCCTCCCCATCCCCTGCCCCAGGTTCCCCCATTGCTGGATCAGGACAAGTCCTGTGGTCAGCCAGTTTCACTCTCCCATTTGACAGGTGGGAAAAGTGAGGCCCAGAGATGGGGAAGTATTTTGGCTCAGATACAGTGATTCAGTTGCAAAGCCAGGGTTGGACTCCTGACTCCTGGCCCAGGCCCTTTTCACCAAAAGGTTCTCATCTTGCTCATCAGCTTAAAAACAAACTGAGCCTTAAGGCACACACAAAATTATGGGCATTTCATATTCTCTCTCCATCAGCGTCGTTTAAGAGATTTGATTCAAACTGTTCTTTGGTGACCTCTGAGTAGCCTTTATCTCATCCTTTTGGGGAATAAGAGGCCAGAAAAGCTGCTTTTCTCTTCTTCTGTGAAGGGCTCTTGATTGTTGAACACAGACATCTGTGATGTCATCATGAGAGGTGAAACATCCCTGTTGGTCCAGGACGGGGCGCTCTGCTGAGCGGTTGCCTGCAGCCTCAGGGAAGCTTCCAGAAGCAGAGGGACCAAATTCCAGCCTCAACCTGCCACTTGGGCAAGTGACACTCCCTCTCAGAACCTCAGTCACTTCATCTGTAAATTGGGGCAGAGGGAAGACTCGCTGTTTTTGCCTGCTGGGGTGCAAATGAAAGGCATACAACTATATGAGAAGTGCCTGGCACACCACAGGTACCCAGAATCCAGGCAGAAAATCTCTGAGCTCAAATGCGACCTCACACGGCATTGACAGCAGTGACAGAGTATTCATGTCTTTTCATTGTGACCTTGAGTGACCCCTTTAGAGATGCAGGACGAACTCCTCTGGCCCACCCCATACCATCACCCCATTCTTTCCAGTATGCTGGGGCTGCAGACAGAGGGGCACTAAATGCACACATCTGTACTCTCCGGTGATCATCACTCAACACGTGTAGCTTGCATTCACCTCTGGCCATTCTATAAGACGAGGATTACAAAGTCCATTTTGTGGATGGGAAAACTGAGACTCAGAGAGGTCAAGTGACTTGCTCAAGGTCACACAGCTACAGCTGGGATTGGACCCCATGTCTCTGAGAATCCACGCTGTACTATTCCTATATCATGCCCGGATGCCTATTTCAGGGCCCTGCACCTAGAAGTCAATAACTCCACCATTTCCCCTGTTCTGGAGACAGCTTTGAGCTATAAACACAGACTTGGCAACAGACAAGAGCTAACTCCCAGGGATTCCAGGCACCTGAAGAAAATGGGAAAACTTAGTCACCAGGCTCAGAGTTGCTAAATATTTGTGTTGTCACTGCAGCGTGGGTACCTCCATTAGCATAAATAAAAGTCTTACATTTTGAAAGGAAAAAAAAACCACGAGCCCTTCAAAAGCTATAACATTTATAGAAAAATGCATTTCCATCTTTGGAAAGTGAGTGGGCTAAATCCACTGTGGTGCATCCAGTCCATAAAATATTATGCAACAATTAGAAAATGCAATCCATTTATATGTACTAATATAGCACAGAGTGAAAAAGGCAAGTTGCAGAGCAATTTG